TCAAAGTCCATGGGCTAATAAATGAATCAAGTTAGGTTAGAATAAAATTTGAATTAAGCTAAGCCTAAATCAGATCAAAGGTATATTCATATATGTATGAATGCCTATACAAATAATTGTGCTGATTTTATATTCAAATCAATATAGCATTTATATTATATATGAATCAATATATGTATTTTGAACTATGAATTTGTATTAAAAGATAGAAAATCATTTGAGATGAAATTAGTTTTTGCTTGATTGAAGTCAACGCCATGCATGGCTTGAATCAATATTAGATCAAGCCAACATACAACAAGACATGGTTTGGCTCAAGGACGAATTGAATGGCTTCAAGAAGATCTCGAACTGGCGTAAATCAGCTCAAGATCGAACCCCATTCTTCGCTTCTTAAAGTTTTATTAGTGTATACAATTTGTGTCCGTGAAATTTAGTATTGTGTGTTGCAAATGCAACCAAGCATCGCATGTGATTAATTTACCACAAAAGTGTATTAGTAGTACATACACCACTGAAACACTATATGCAATAGATGTTATATGAAACGAACAAAGATGTAGAGATTTTCTTTTGTTCCATTTCTTGTTCTATCCTACTCTTTCTCTGTAAAAATATCATCCATAATTCCCCAATAAACAAGTTGGGAAAATAATAGAAAGCAAGTTTTAGGTGAGACTAAAAAGGGGGAATGAGAAAGCATGTAAATGAAGTGTGTTGGGAAAATAATAGAAAGCAAGTTTTAAGTAAGACTAAAAAGAGGGAATGAGGAAGCATGTAAATGAAGTGTTCGTTGCCCTCCCTCCCTCTCTTGTTTACTCCTCTATTTCACCGTCCTCCCTCCACTCCTCTCCACAATTCCCTTAAGTTCTTTAGTTCTCTATTTCAATTTACCCCTCTCCTCCAACCTTAATTTTTCTCTGTAATGTGTAAACGAGATGACAGCACATCATACATGTTACATCAATGGAAATAAAGCATTAATCCATGAGTAAAATTATTCCACTTGACACAGTAGTATATATTCCAGTAATTGAATATGACAGTGAGAGACATTGACGTTTTTTCTCCCTCCAACTCTCTCCTATCCTACAATTCATCTTTTCCATCTTCATCTCTCTCTCCCTCTTTGTCTCTCTCTACCCCATGAATCCTTATCATTCCCTTTTTAGCACAATTTGATATTCACTAAACCTATTATCAAATCATATATTAAACTTTAAACTAAAAATTATCAATTGTGCAGCAAAATTACAAAGATCATATATGAAAGATAGAAATGGAGAGAAAAAATTATTATCATTATTACAAATTTGCCTTATTTTAATTATTTAGAGACAACTTTATGAGCTTCCATTCATTCTTGTTCAGTGCCGCATCAAGTGTTACCACTAATCAAGAAATTTATTTTTCACTATTTTTTACCCATGTTATCTTTAATCTACAAATTCACTCCTAGTACTTCCACAACTTAGACTCTGTTTGGCAGCTGCGCTGCCCCAGAAAGCTTCTGCGAGGAAGCAGCTGCGGGGAAGCTGACTATCTGTTTGGTGCAGTTGTGTTAAAATAGCTGTGGGGCAGCTGTTTCTGGAAAAATGATCATGTTGCCCCTGTTTGGTAAAACTATTTAAAAAAAGATTGTAACAACTACATTTTTGAAACTTCTGAAGCAAAAATTCATTTCTATAAAGAAAAAGAAATAAAATTAATAAAATTACAAGAAAAATAAGAAAATTATAATATCTTTAAGGATTTGACGTACTCATAAGCAAATCAAATCCATCTTGAATCAGGACTCAAAGGATTGCAGCTGATGTGAATGGGTTTCGCCTCTTGTACTGTAATGTAATTTCTGTTTTGGCTTTAGATTCTGAATTAGAGTTGTGATTGGAGATAAAAATTGCACTGTACATCCATTTTGCACCCGTTCAAACTTATGTACTCCAGATTGGATATAAAATCTGCATTGTCAATCCATTTTGCAGAGCTTACACTCTTGTATGAAAAAATGGACAATGTTCTGTAGGCCTCCAAACCAATCCTCCAATTCCTATGTTCTTACATATATAACACCTAAACTTAACTTTATACCTGTATACCACCCAAATATTTCATTTATACACTCATATGGTTTTATTTCAGATATTTAAAAAAAAAGATAAAAGTAAACACATAAACAAGAAAGAGCATATTGAACACAACTGTTATAATCCTAAGCAATAAATTTACAAATCTAACACCTGTTATATAAATACAAAAGAATTGGGTGGTATAAATTTAAGTGCTTAATGGCTGATATAAAAATTTACTGCAATAAAACGATGATGGAAACTTCCAGTTATCAATCAAATGCAGCTGAAAAAATAATGCAGAATTAAGCTAGATTATTTCCAACTCAAATCATAATTGGAAATGTATGGAATCAAGTTTGTAATATGATGAGCACCTATTATATTTTACCAGGAAGATAAACTTTGTTCCAGATTACTCAAGCCATTGGCAAGAAAATTAAAAAACAGGTCAGGGAAATTCAACTCCTCCATGAGCCAGTTAACTTTCCAAAAGGAAAGATTGACCTCACCCAAATTCTCAAAAATGTACTTCTCAACAATATCTCTAACTTTAATCAGGCATTTGCAGGTTTTAGATACCACAATTTCCTAAATCGATGCATTTGTTTAGAAACGCAGATTTCCTTGGTGAAGGCACAAGCAATACAAATTATCATGAATTTAGCCCATAGACCCCTTCAAAGCAGGACATGAAAAGCACTGCTTGATGAAATAAGCTAATTAAAATAACAAGGCATACAATATTTTATCAAACTAGTTGTATGAATAAATAATAACTTGCAAAACTCCACAAAATATAATTTGCATGCAATAAGCAAAAGTTCCCAGGCGTCAAACTACAAAATTTCACTTTTATATAGTGTGTCATGATGATATGGGGAAGACAACTTTCTTACAACATGTCTGAAAATATGAAAGAGGATTTTGATCTTAACGTGCGGGTTTGTGGTCCCAACAACCTTGAAATGAAATCAAAGTCATAAGAAAAAAAAAAGAAATTGGAGTTGAGTAATTTTGGTTACCATGTTCTTAGCTTCCATCTCAACCTTTACAAAGTGTTTGCAAATTTAAAGTCAGTATTCATCTATTCCTACAGCATAAACAAATGGCGGAATCATGCTTTGACGTTGATCTGCATTGTACATCCATTTTGCAGAGCTTACACCCTTGTACGAAAATATGGACAATGTTCACGCTGCGCTCCCAACCAATCCTCCAATGCCTATGTCTTTACATATATAACACCTAAACTTCACTTTAAACCTTTATACCATCCAAATCTTTCATTTATACCACCCATATAGTTTTATGCGTATGATTGATGAGAACAATCTTTTTGCATATAATTGATTCAAGAGATCCATTTGATTGAGTGGGCATGAAAACAATATATGTAGAGCATTTAATAATTTTACAGGAAGATAGAATACCATGAAAAACTAAAAATGACCTCTGCTTCAAGATCCTCATAAACCAAAGATGAACAAAAATAAAATCAAGATAATGAGGTAAAAGCAAAGTCGCGAAGAATCCATAACGTGAAGATGAGGCGTCATCATTTGGGGGAAATAGCGGCAGCTAACGCACCGACAATGCCCTCCTTCGAGCTCGGCTGCGTGTAGGGCTTCTTCCTCAATGGTTTCAGGTAGGAGCAGAGCGGAAAGGGGAAAAAGGAGAACGATGGGAGCTTAGAAGATCATCGCATGCGGCGATCCAGTTGGCCTCCCAGCGAAGTCGAAGGGTACGGGAGTAAAAAATCAAGCGATAACGCGGGCCGCGGGGCCTCTCCCGCGGTCCACTTTGCGCTCAGATTTCACGGCCGCCGCAAGCGATACGTTGCTCCGAACGACCCTTTTCAACAGCCTTCCCCCGCACCGCGCAGAAAAAACCGCTCCAAACGGACCCTTAATTATATATACTCATCAAAAGGAGAAATAAAGATTTTTGGTAGTCGCATACCCCATCCACTCCTTCTCTCGCTCCCCCCCACTCGCCGCTCTCTCTCTCTCTCTCTCTCTCTCTCTCTCTCACACACACACACACACACACACATATTTCATCCATCTGTTCACATTCTTCATTCCTCACCCATCTCTTCACTCCCTTCATTTCTTTCTTTACTCTCTTCATACCACCCTTTATCTACTTTCATTATCTCCCTTCCTCTCTCTGTTGTGTGCTCTCTATTCCCCTCTTCTTTACTCTATCTTGAGTTACCTTGGCGAGTAGAAAAAATCCAAGAGCAAGATGCCATTTTATCTAAATCAAACCATGTTGACACTTCAAAAAATAAAGCCCGGGTTGGCAAATTCATATAATTGAGAACACATAGAAAGAAATCCAACATTCCATAAAAGCATGAGATGCTTGAAGTTAACTTCATAGTGACAAGGAGCTTAAAATATTTCTTTATCTTTCATGCTTACAACTAGCCCATGACCTCATATATCCAATTACAACTAAGATCATAAACTTCTTTATGAAGTGCTTCGTTGATGCTATGCACCTTTGAAAGACACACATTCATAAAACAAAAAAGAGAAAGCACCACATAATGACAAATAAAAGTGCCAATTCAGCTGCCACAATAAAAATGCCAATCCAGATGTCTAGCGTCAATCTCTCCTTCAAAAATACTTCAAAGAGAAATGACACGCAACTCCCTAAGTAGATTTGGAACCCATTCTAGAGACCAGAAAATTTAATAATTCTTCCACTAAAGCATTGACTTGAAGTTAAAACTGTAGTTACGTCTATCTTTATGAACTTCCAAGAGAAACTAAATATCACTGATGGATAAAAATAGAAGTAAGAAACAGTCATTCAATCATCAAATAGACAAAATCAATTACGAGGGGGAAAATATTTATGGAAGGAAATAAAAAAATAGTCCAACAAGAACCAGATTAAACTCCATCACAATCTTACCTTATATAAAGAGCGCATGAACTCTGTCCCAGCAAATAGTCGCAGACTATATCAGCAAAAGCCCACTTAACATTCCTTATATGCTTGAGCAAAGGATTCCCCTTCTGTACCGGAACAAAAAACAAAAACTTCAAAAACCAGTCAGCAAACTACTCAAAATTCCTTTAGGAAAACACTTCGCACCTGCCTATGGCTAACAAGGATAGCATTTCGATTCTGAGCGGATGAACTCGCTGAAGAGTAAGAATTCGAAGCAGAAATCGGGGTATAAGAAGAAGAGCACGAAGCCGCCGCCGAATCAGAAACTTCCCTGCGACAAACAATCCCATCGCACCGGATCAAGAAACGAATTCGCGGCATCAAATCAAATACTAAGGAAATGTCTCACCTCGGCGCTTGCTCCAACGGAGGCGGAGGAGAGTAGAATTCGGAGGATTTGATGAAGGAAAAAGCCTGGGAGAAAGAAGCCGGAGGCGGAGGATTGTAAGATCGAGATGAGGAAGACCCATCTCCTCCGCTGATGCCGAAGACTTCCTGGTATGAAGGGATCTGTATCAATCCCTTCTTCTCCGTTCTCCTCTCATTGGGCTCGTCGTCTTGAGTTTTCTCCATTCTCACCGCAGAGCAAGGTTGCGGCGGGAATGCAGGGCTTTGGGAATCTTATAGGGTACGCCTATTTTGAGATTTTATAGGAGGATGTAGTTATGTTATGCTGACTCGTGGGGTGGTTCAGCCCGGCTCGAGTGAGCTCAGCTCAATTACTAACAAAATAAGCTCAAGGTAGCCCGATTCGTTAACTCTTGAGGGGACTCATATTAAAAAATATTAATATAAAATATATTTGAAATATATTGAAATTCATAACTCCATTTATAAATTATTAATGTTTAAAAATTCTATTTATATTTTATATCACTTGATTTATTATTATTTGTCTTATAATTACTCGTTTTGTCTTGTTTTTTATAACAATAGCTTAAATTAACATTGTTTTCTCTCTTTTATAATAAACGAGTAGGCTCAAACACATAGAATTTAACTCGGCCTCATGCTCAGACTTAATTAATTGCGAATTCTATTGCAGTATAAATGCAGGAAGAGAATAACAAAGATATATATGAAACGAAGTTCATTTCATTGATCTCATTCAAAACAGATATAGAAGGTCCCCTTATATAGGAATTCTATTACTACATACAATCGCAAATCATTTGAGTTTATTACAAAATCCATAAAGAGAATGCCGA